GGCCAGGTCAGAATAGAACAAACAAATAAGAAATATGAATAATTATATGAATAATTCACGATACCGGTGTTCGACGTGCGAGGTGCTTCATGAATCCGTAGTTAGTGAAGCAATGTATATAAGGTGTCCCATTTAAGTTGAGATCGTAAAAAATCTTATAGACGCGCGATTTAACCAGTTAGCTGTGTTCGACGAGTATACTCGTCAACCCTTTTTTTCTCGCGACTGATATAGGTGCGCGCTCTAAAAAGGAGGCTCCACAGCTAACTTGGTTAACAACTTCCGTTTCTCTGTCATACATTTTCTTCACCGCCTTTCTTTAATTTATTTTCTGTTCTTTTTTCATTTTATTTACTTTGTTTTGTTTTTATTTTTAGCTTCTGTTTTTTCCCCCATTTTTTGATTTATTTCAAACCCTTATCTATTCAACGAAAGCAAAAGCTCGTTCGTCCCGGTAGGACTCGCAGTGGGTAAATACGAACAATAGATTCTATCTAGCTGCATCGGTAGTTATTTATGACTCGACCTAATCAAATATGCGAAGTCCATTTTGTATCGCGTGCACAGGGCTGGGAAAAAAATAGATCTTTGAAACAGTAAATGGACCATATAAATATTTGTAACTTCTCGTGTAACACGGAATGCCGAATAAATGTTCTTCGAAACAGTAATTACATACGAATATTGCATAGTTAAATGTACTTGAAGGTGCTATTTCCATGTATGCAACTACTATTTCGAGGAAAGTTTATTTGCCAAATTCTGTACATACGGGAGACGCTAACGAACTATTTCAATAATCTATTCTTCTCTAGCCATGCACGTACACAGTAGCCTGCAAAAATATAATAAAGAGATCAGGACGAAAAGAAAGAAATTGATCAATGCAGCTGGATTCCTTATTAATTCTTGATTACTGTTGCCGGTCTGTGAGACAGCTACTAATTAACAGAATTTGGGAAAAAGACAGATTTTTGAAACAGTAAATAGACCGTAAAAATATGTTTATCTTCGGATGTAAATACAGAATTTGACAAATGAACTTTATTTTGAAATAATAGTTACATATGGAAATAGCATTTCAAATACATTTTTTAATAGTT